ATTATTAAAAACAAATAAAAAATAATGTTGTTGTTGTTGCAGTCGTTGCTGTTGTTTTGATAGTTGCGTTTTAGTTGTTGGTGTCCGAAAGAGTCGGCGTTTATGAGCAGTGTTCTTATAAATTACATATTTAGCTTCGTGTGGCTGCCTTGAATGTGCTTTATGAGGCGATGTGTGTGTGTGTTGTGTGTGTGTACGTGTGTGTACGTGTGTGTACGTGTGTGTACGTGCGTCTATGTGCAATTAAAAATCCAACAACGGTATGTCGTCACTGGAGCTGTAAAAAGTTTAGAATTGTTATTTTATGTAAACATTTGCACTTGAGAACGTGAAATTGCGGTTTAAATTGATTGCGATGGGCGACGTGTAGAGCATAAAACATTGCTCGTAATTCTAATAGAAAGATTTGAAAAACTAAATTTGTATTCAGAGCAACCACATGCCCACAAACACGCACATAAACACACGTACACACGCACACACACACAGGTACATACATACATACATACATACCTATACAAATAAATATACAGATCAGGGTAAAACAGCAAAGCCAACCGTTCTTCCTTCAACAAACACTACAATAAAAAGCAAGCAATAGAATACACATATGTATGTTTGTTTGTATGTATGTATGTATATATGGGCGTATGCATGTGTATGTTTGTTTGTATGTATGTAGTGCTAATACTAAAAGTTACAAAAAATAAACATAAGGTCGTCATTTTTCAGTCACAACCCTTAACAAACGGCCTTTAAAAGCTTTCCTTTGTTTGTCGCCATATAACTCCTAGTTAGATGTATATTTTATACTCTGCTCTTTTAGCAAGGTATGCACGAATGTTTGTCTATGTTTGTTTGTCTATGTTTGTTTGTTTGTTTGTCTGTATGTTCGTGGATGTATGTGTGTCTCTGTCTATCTATGTACTCATGCATGCATACATACGTCCGTGTGTGAATGTAAAAGGTGTGTTTTCTGTTGGTTGTTTGAATAACATTTGCACTGATCTGTGAGGAGCGTTCTAATTCATTTTATTATATTTTGTGGTAAGTTGTTTTATGGCCGGCACAATGGTTATTTATTATTGTTCTTATTATGGTTATTTACGAGCAATATAATGTTAATATTGGTTGTTGTTATTAAACTCTGGCGCTACTCTTATTATCGCCACGATCTAATGGTTGTTTAGTTGAATGGCTGGCAGATGATTTATCGCCAAGAAAAATTTTCTCTTCTTTGTTGTCAAGTTTTATATTTTCACCTTTGGTTGGTGGTAGCCAGGAAACAAACACTCTCCTCTGAACGTTATTCATTTCACTTTTTTTTCATGCAGTTTTGTTTGGTTTTTTCTCCATTTTTCTTTATCCTTCTTTCTTTCTTTCTTTCTCTCTCTCTCTCTCTCTCTCTCTCTCTCTTTCTCTCTCTCTCTCTGTCTGATCTGACTAGTGTTTTTCTTTAAGATTCTCACTTGTTTATTCTTTAGTTGTCCTGTTTTTGACCATTATTCTTAATGTTGACGTCATATTTTTGTTAGTTTCTCATTCACAATCTCTAGTTTTTATTCGAAATTTCCGGCCATCATTTCTCCCCATCCCATTTTATTAAAGTAAGCAGCTCTTTGAATGGAAGCAACTGCACCCCTAGTTCATTTTTGTCGTTCCCAGGGGGAACATTGCATGTTAAAAAGTGCAGAGGACTTTGATGGCCAAATGTCCTTAGGCTGTGCTAAATTTTTCAACATTTTCAACTGTCACGTCATGTTTTTTGTGGGGTTGCATGCGTTGGGAGAGAGAAAGAGAAAGAAAGAGAGAGAGAGAGAAAGAGAGGAAGAGAGAGGGAGAAAGGAATAGAAATAGAGAGAAAAGAGAAAAAGAGAGAGAAAGAAGGGTTGAGGACTTTGGGGGATGTGGTGATAAGGAGGAAACGAAAGAATTAATACATTCATAAATATTCATGCGTTTCAAATGCTTTTAAGAAATTTTCTTTTTTCTAGATGTAATCTAAAATGCAGTTAAAAACTATTTTTTTAGTTGTCTGTGCGTGGATGTTTGTATGTTTGTTTGGTTAAATTAGTTTGAGTTTGTATGTTTTGGAGAGAATTTGCGTGTGTTTTGTCGGCTCTTCAATTTTTTAACTTTTTAAGTTAATCGGTGGGTAAGCAAGCATTTATGAATTTTTGTATGTTCTTATGTGAAAAATTTTCTTTTTCGTGTTTTTCAGGCTTACAAAACTGTTTGAATGTTTAATTCATTGTTTTATAAACTGGTGCATAAAATTGAAATTTCATTCGGAAAAATTGTTTTCATGTGTTTTGCATTTTAGATAAGCAATTTCAATGTATGGCATGCAAAGGACAATTAGCTAACACTGCACACGTGCGCTAACAAGCAATACAACAATTTATTTTTCTTAATTTTTATTTTAAATTTAAAACTTTCCGATACATTTTATTTGAATATTTCATCTTCCATCTTCCCATTAACAATTTCTGCTTTGCTCTTTCTTCTCATCATTTCCGATCAAACATTTTTTCCCCATAAATTATTCATCCAACTCTTTTTAATTTTCTGTTACGAATTCTTCAAAGGAACTGTTTTCTTTTTTTAAATAAAAAATTAGAAAAATGAAAACGTGGGTAATAATAATTCAATTTAAATTCATAAACTCATTAGTGGTAACGTCTGCGAAAGGAATTATCTTTCAGGGCATTCATAAGCATTAGCAAGCTCGCCTCCATCGGCACAATGTATAATTATTATATTTTGTAACACTAATTAATAAATTTTAGAGCAAAAATATTGTTTTCTTTGAACAATTAAACAATTTATTTTTTTTTAAACTTTAAATATCTGGTAATGAGCGCCATTATCTGAATGTATGCTTCTAACGATGGTTGTATTGAATCTATTAAGTTTACATCGTTGGCTTCCAATTAATTCCAATCTAATTTGAAAGTTTCCTTCTGCAAGTAATTTTATTTTCATTAAAAACACATAATTTTCACAAAATTCAAATCTTTCTGCACATGCTAAAATCATTTTCCACTACTCTATTACTGAAATTGCAAACATTACAGATAGCTTTTTTTACACAAAAACAATAACGGTCAAACAAAATTTTTGCAAAAGAAAAAAAATTAACAATTTGCGTTGCTCTCCTTCGGGAAGGAACATTTGTAAGGCAAAATTGAAAGTTAGTAACAAAATTTCTTACAAATTGTCACTTAGGTACTAGCTGTGTTGCGTGCATCTAACTAATTCCAGAATTCACCGAGCAATTCATCACAAACAACTCACCGCAAACAACTCACCGCAGACAATTCCCCACCGTCAAATTCACCAAAAAAATAATTCGATCTTTTTTTTTCATTCACCTCAAACTGCTACACTCACAATTTTTTATATATTAATTTATCTTAAAAAATGCGTAATTTGACGTCAAGTATGGCCTTTTGAAATTCTCACGGTGAAGTAAACAGAATACAAATTTGTTACATACATGTATTTCCTAAGCATATCCCAAAACACTATTCACTTCACGAACAATACTACACACACACACACACACACACACACACACACACACACACACACACACACACACAAATATACAACACACATGCGTACAATGATACACCCAGATACACAATGCACACACACGTACTCTACTCACATCGATACCCACCGACATACACACGTATATTTGCACATACACATTTACACAAACACCCACACACATATACATACAGACACACACAAACACAAACAAACACACACACACACATATATATATATATATATATATACATATATATATATACAACGCGTTTCTAACCTGCCTGCCACCTAGCAACAAAATAGAAAAAACAGTATCTCTTTCTTTTCCTCGCCATAAAAGTTTAAATGGCTAACGACAATTGAACGCTATTCATATGGGATTTTGATTATTGCATGTGGAAAGACGAATAAAAGATGAACTGAAGGATAAACAGAAAAAGAGAGAGAGAGAGAACAAAAAAGAGAAAAAATATAGGAAGAAAGACAAAGAGAGAGAGAGAGAGAGAGAGAGAGAGAGAAAGAATAAAAGAGAGAAAGAATGAAAAACAGAGAGAAAGAAAGAGAGGAGAGAGAGAGAGAAACAAACAAATAAAAAGAAAGAGAAAACGAAAAAAATATGGAAAACTGAAAGAAATACAAAATAAAGAAAAACTTGTGCCGGTGAATTTGGCTGAGGGTGCAGTCGTATTGAAAGGATAGGTGACTGATGTGTGCCGATCGCATTATTTCATAGAAGCAACAAATAAATAAACAACAACAAAATAATAATAATAATTACATAATAAATAAAAATAACATTGACGATAATGATGATGATGATGATAATAATAATAAATGAACCAAGAACAGCAGCAATAAAGAATCATTCGACATCATCTGCCCTTAAAAATTCAAACTATTCGTCAAAGCGTTCCACCTCCTTCGCTGCGAGATAACGAGTTATTATTATTATCATTATTAGTCTTATTATTATTATTATTATTATTATTATTATTATTATTCATAATTATTATTATTCATAAGTAAGTGTTGGCGTGGTAGCCTTTAACCTTTAACCTTTTAACCTTTATTGTTATTCATAATTATTACCACTCACCTAAGACAATAGTAGGCCAGTTTTCCATCCTAGCCATCAGGCCCTTCAAAAATATCTGATGCAGGAATAGCAGGGTTTCGCTGTTGGAGGTTATGGTAATGATTGTTACATTTTTGTTATGGTAATGATTGTTTGGTTGTTACAGTTGATGATGATGAGGTTTGGAAGAAAATTTTAATACGTCGTCAACCGATTCTTTTTGCCAAAATTTCAAAATTTTTTAATAATTTGACCACATTAAAAATCACTCAGACTGCAAATGACTTGAAACGCAATGGACTAAAAAAATTATTAACATCAACAGATGAAAAATGGTCTAAGTACTACAAGTAGTAGCAGCAGCAGCAGCAGCAGTTGCAGCAGCAACACTAGCAGCTTAAAACGCAATGGACTAAAAAAATTATTAACATCAACAGATGAAAAATGGTCTAAGTACTACAAGTAGTAGCAGCAGCAGCAGCAGTTGCAGCAGCAACACTAGCAGCTTAAATAGTATTAGAAGCAGTAGTGGAAACAATGCTCACAGCAGTCCTATTAACCTGTTTAAGAATATAGAGTTAACATCATCGTGCGAAACGGGCGGAACCTTCGAACTGGCCGACATACGGAACGGCCTCAGAAAGACGGTCACCAGCGTTGAAAGCTGCTTCACGTACTCCTCCTCACATTCCACCATCTTGAAGACGATGTTGTTCCTCTTCCGCATGCCTTCCGCGTGGTCGGAGCGAATGTACAGCTCCACTATTTGCTTCCAACGCCGCCTGCACATCCACCCACGGAAAAAACTTTGCACCTGTACATTTTTTGTTTATTTTATCATTTATTCATTCATTCATTCGTTCGTTCTTTCGTTCGTTCGTTCGTCCGTTCATTCATTTATTCATTTCTCTATCCATTCATTAGATTGTCTTATGGGTTTTCATATTTCCTTAATAAGAAACTATTTTTAAATTTGAGCAATTGAAACTGGGGTTAAAAATTTTGTGTTTGCTGTGTGTTTGCGTGTGTGTGTATATATATATATATGTGTTTGTGTTTGTATGTGTGTGTGTGTGTATGTCTGTGTGTGTGCATTTGTGTTTTAAAACAGTTTAATATCGATGTTTTGAAACGTGATAAACTTGAAAACTCTTCAATTACTGGATATTAAATTATACTGCAAACTTCCTCTGAATCGTCTCGCAAACAAGGAAAGAGTTTCCAATCAAAACCTCTTTACTAACGGGCTGATCTATTTTTGTCACGGTGTTTCATCCAAATACATTTAATTCATGATGAAAACAGAAAAAAATTAACTCGGAAGTTGAAACTCTGAAATTTAAATTAAGATTTCTTTCCTCTCTTCATGTCGTTTCAATTTTCATCCTAAATAAATTCTCATCCTTCTAGATGAGTCAGTTATTTTAGTTTATTTAAGAAAAAACCCAAATAAATAATAAATAAAAATAAATAACAAATAATTAAAAATAAATAAAAAATAAAATTGCAAGAAAATATACACTCAAAAATCTCTGCGTGAAATTTAGATGTTCATAATGAAATAATAAAAATAAAATAATAATAAAAATATTAATAATAATAATAAATAATAATAATAATAAATAATAATAATAATAAATAATAATAAAAAGATTTCGCAATTAAGTTTAGCATTGGTTGGCAGAAACAGATTTATTTTAAAACAAATAAATAACAAAATAATAATAACATTAATAATAACAAATAATAATAATAATAAGTAGATAAATGATGAAAAAACAACAAAAGCAATAATATAATAATAAACAAAATTTTTATGTCTTGTTTGTGAATGTCGTTGTGTTGCTGATGTAAATGTATGTAATTCTTATTAATGAAATAGTTGATGTAACTGCTGGTATATTAATGTTAGGTCGTTAATGTGCATTAATGTTGAAATGTATGAAAAATGTTTGAAATTTAAATGGCATTTTTCCCCTGTTGTTGCTGGTTAATTTGGCTGGGTTTAATGTTTAAATTAGGGATGATTTATCGCGCTGGGGAGTTTTTCAAAAGACTTTTTTAATAATGGTGACGTTGATGATGACGTCATTATCGTCATCGTCGTCATTCTAATGGCCATAATCATTATCATCATCACCATCATCATCATCATGATGTGTGTATGTGTGTGTGTGTTTGTGTATTCATTCGAATTTTGACCTCATAAAACTTGTTTGGCTGGTTGAACGACACGTTAATTTGTTTGCTCTAGCAATAAAAATCGTATTGAAAATTGTTTCTTCTTCTATTTTTTATTTTAAATATTTTTATTGCGTGTATATGTGCGCGCGTGTATGTTTATGTGCGTGTGTATGTTTGCGCGTGCGCGTGCGTGCGTACGTGCGTCTGCAAGATTCTACAGTTACATTTAAAATAACTAACTCTCTTTTGAAAACTTTCCAGTAAGATAAATTTTTCAAGTGTGGAACTTTCAAAAATAACTTTCTTCCATGTAAGGAAGAATTAAATAATTGCTCGGCATAATCCTCGTTAAATTTGTTAAATTATGAACTTACTGTGAAGCGAAGGTAAGACAAATGTCTGAATATTGGTCAGTAAGCTGTCTTTGTCTGTCTCTCTGTCTGTCTGTACGTCTGTCTCTTCGTCTATTTGTCTATCTGTCTGGTTATCCGTCTTTTTGTGCAACAGTTTTTTTTCCTGGTTGTAGAATCAATAAATTTTTTTAATTTTATCAGCTTCAATAATTGCAAATGTTATTGACAGTAAGACCCACACGCGCGCGCAAACACACACACACGCACGCACACACGCGCACACACGCACACACACACTTACACACTTACACACGCACATACATAAATTTACATGCACGCGTACACACACGCAAGGACAACACTAAGTTGTTATCCTTATTGAGAAACTAACTTACCAAGGAAGAAAAATTTTTGATTAAATTTTCAGCATGAGTGATATATATTATAGACGTGTGTGTGTGTGTGTTTGTTTGTTTGTGTGTGTGTGTGTGTGTGTGTGTGTGTGTGTTGTACGATGACATTTATGATCTAGATAGCCAAAGAATACAAATAATGCAAACAAAAGGAAAAATAATACCAAAAACTGTAAAAAAAACAAAAATATACAAAATATGCAAGAAGCATACAAAGCATACAAAAATTATAAAACAAAATAATACTATAACATACAAAAATAATACAAGACATAAAAAAAACACACAAAAACAATATAAAATAGTACAAAATCACACAACAAAAACCAAAAATTTTGAGTCACAATTGCACAGAATGATGACGCATTCCATCTCTGCTTAATGACGACCGTATCTTAATATTTGGGGATTTGATGTAATATTCATAGTGCTATATCTAATCTCCTATATGTGTGTGTGTGTTTGTGTGTACGTTCGTTTGTTTGTGCGTGTTGTGTGTGTGTACGTATGAATATAAATACATGTATGTATCTTTATATGTTTCTCAATTTATTTTGATGTAGGCTTCGAAAAAAAGCACCAGAGGAACTAGTCCAAAGGCGAACATGTACATTTAACGCTTTGTCATCTCAAAAAAATTACCATTGTTAAAACATTTTTTGTCACCATCATCATCATCGTCATCGTCATCATCATCCGTGTAGTAATAATCATCATCATCCTAATCATCATTATTTTCTTCAAATCTGCTGTAATTATCATGCATATTTCATGCTCTAGAGTTACGCTTAGGTATTTAAGTGCATTTGCCGATTCTATCATCATCATTATTTTCTATCATCATCATCGTCGTCGTCGTCATCATTATCAACATCGTCATCATTATCAACATCATCATCATCATCGTTATTAGCATTAGTATAATTTCAAATGGCATTTTTTAGCATTCTATTACATAGGATTAAAACTCTTCAACTTGGGAGGAATTTTCTTAGGGTGTGAATGTACAGATTGTGGTATATACATTCAAGCGTACAATTCTTATTGTTTATACAACCAATCAACTAACTAATTAACAACTAATTAACAAATAAGCCAGCTGCTGATCAACCAACCTGCTAATGAAATAAATAATCTATCAGTCGATCGATTGATATAACAACTTATCAATCAACCAACCAATCAACTAGTTAGTTAATCAATCAACCATGCAATCAATCAACCAACCAACTAGCAAATTTATCAATCAACTACTCATTTAAACAATCAATCAACTAACCAATCAGGCAATTAATTAATTAATTAGCCAATTAATCAATCAAGCAATCGACCAAAAAAGCCCACCTTTTTAATTTTCTTCAGTTCCTCGCTTTCTAACTCGTCCGCTTGTGCCATCTTGAATTCCATCTTGTATTCTCGTATCTAAAAAGTTCGTGGTGATGGTGAGGACGACGACGACGATGGTGAGGGTAATAAGATTATGATGACGGTGATGATGACGATGACTTTGCAGATGATGATGATGATGAGATTGTTGTTGGTGTTGTTAATAATGGTATGTTGTTAATGACGATGGTGACGATGATGATGCTGATTCTTTAAATGATGATTTGAAAAGGAAAAACACTTCTCAAGATTAAAAAGATAGTCATGTTATCTTTTATATTTTATGTTATAATGTATCACCTCGGTCATACATGCACACGCACACACACACACACACACACACATACACACATACACACGCACGTGCACACATACCCGCGCGCACACGTACACGCATATTTGATATTATGAAAGCGAATGGAAAACTGGCATGAAATTTTTTTTTATTTTTCAAATGGAAAAAAAACATCTGAAGAAATATTATCAACCGACTCTTTGATGTTTAATTATAATTATTGCCATCATAATAATAATAATAATATTAATAATGACAATAATTAATTAAGTAATGATGACGACGACAATAACAATCAAACAATCCCACGACTTTCAGTAAGATTTGTGTGCGTGTTTTGCGGTCTAAATACTACAAACATGCATACACTCACCATACACACACAAACACACACACACACAAGCAAACAAACAAACACACACAAACATATACAAAGACTCGTTAAAGCAAGACCAACAAAAGCTAATTACCGCTCCATGCATCATAGGCGCACATTAGCACACATTCATTTTTCGTAACAATAGAACAACAACCACTAAAACGCATTTAATAGATTACTTTTAATACATCACCCACCTTTTATACAAACAAACAAACAAACATACATACAAATATACATATGCCTGCCTACTCACACATACATAAACACACACACACACATCTTACATGTATAAATGTTGTTTATGCTCACACACGCCTAATTTTTTTAGCGTGTATGTATGTTTTTGGCTTTTATTTGGTGAAACATTGATTTATGTCCCAACGGTCAGGTTTAATGCAGCGATTTTATTGCTGGCTATATGCAAAAAGATGTTTGTGTGTGTCATTGTGTGTGTTTGTTTTTGTGTGTGTGTTTGTTTGTCTGTGCGTGTGTGTGTATTTTATCTTTGGTGTTTGCGTACGAGTTCATTAGCGTTGAAGTTGATGTTGTTTAAATATGAATGCTTGTTTAGACTTGCCAGTGTAATGGCTGTTTAATTATGCATGCATCTGTATGTTTATCCGTGTCGATACACGTTTAATCGTGAGTGTATGGGCCAGTCTGTCAGTTAGTTTGTCATTCTGGGTTGCTTAAAAAATATCGCCTTAGTCTGTATTTGTCTGTAGGCTTTTATCTAGGTGACAACATTAAAATCAAAAACATCAGCAGCAACAACATCAACAACAACAACCACATCAACAACAACGACAACAACAACGACGACGACGACAACAACAACAACAACTACAACAACGACGACGACGACAACAACACCATTAAACAAACCTCTTTCTTAAGTTTCTGAACCTCTGTAGCAAACTCCTCAGTTTGTTGTACGTAGTACCATTTAGCCTGCCTCTCACTGTCCAACACCTGCAAGAGGTGCAGGTGCTTCTGCTCTACCTGCTGTTTTAGCTCCAAAACTTTGCTGAAACTGTTTGTGTGTGGGCGTGTGTGTGGGCGTGTGTGCGTGTCGTAGTGTATGCGTGTCGTTGTGCATGTGCGTGTGTGCGTGTAGTTGTGTGAGGTTATATATGTGTGTGTGTTTGCCTACGTGTGTACATGTATCTGGCTACATATCTGTGTAAATTTGTTTGTGGCTACATGTTATTATAAAAATAATAATTATATATATATATATATATATATATGGAAAAAACCGGAAACGGAAATACCTTGCTTTCAAGATGGCTTCCATCCACATTTGACAATCTGCTTCCGTCTCCGTTCTCAACTCGTACTGGCGCTGGCCTTCTTTGCGGTAGAAAATGGCGAAACAAAACTGCAGAATTAGTAATAACAACAACAACATCAACAACAACATCAACAACAACAACTATAATAAGTTTGATAACACTTGAACGATGATATGATGATTGCTTACTAAAGATAATAATTATGAAATTATAAGAATGACGATCATGACGACGACGCTGGTAATGTTGATGATGAAGAAGACGGCCATGATGACGATGGCGATGATGATGGTGACAATAATGATTATGGTTGCATACATGAATGCGTTAATATAATGAACATTCATGGTGTATCATAAAAAATTTGGCACAATCAAAGCAATCGGCTGTTATGTAAGGTTAAAAATTTTAGCTGAAAAATCTTTAATCATTCCTTTTTTTTAATTTTTTGTTATTAAGACTATCGATTTATATATTTTTTTATTACAACAGCAACAAAAACTTGAACACATTACATTACATTTATTCTAAATGCAAATTAATTACTTAGCGATAGTTACCTATTGTACATATACTACTACTAACACTGCTATCATTACTACTACCACTAAATCCAACTACAACTGCTGTTACTACTAGCGCTATTAGCGCAATAGCAACAACATTATGACGTAACAACACAAAAATCACGTGATCAGGGATGTGCGTGATTCTATTGTTCGTTGAAGTTTTTTTTTCTCGTGAAATTAAAAGTCGTCATTCATTCGGATTTCAACGTGAGATGTATCGGGTTTTTTTGGGAAAAGTTTAGTGTGACTTTACCCGCGCGCGATTTGATTTCCATGTAAATTTAGTAACTCAAAATTGTTGCTGCTACTCAAACATTTAAGACAACAACTAACATAGCATTAATTACAATAACAACAAAAACATCAACAACAACAAAATTGCTAACATTATCACAGCGACAACATCAATGAAAGCAATATGAGTTTCAACTAAATCTATCTTCGCTATGAAGTGTGCGCATTTCACCCGACAGCTATAAAAGCAACAACAAACATTACAACAAAAACAACAATCATAAAATAAAGAAAAACAATACAACAGCAACAATAACAACAACAAAACCAACAACAACACAACAACAAACATTGACAAATTATACACTCTGGGCAGCAAAAAATTAATTGAGCCGATAACTAACTAAAGAAAAAAATTTTTTTTCTTCGTCTTTCAACCAAAAAACTAGCGAAAAATAACTAAAATAATAAAAATAAACTAAATAATAATAATAAAGATGCAAACATCTAAAATTGCTTTGAATTATTAAGGTCTACCTCAAATTCTCTGAACTGAAAGAAAAGACACTCTAAAACATACGAACGGACTTATAAAAAATTTAGCCCTGCAGAAAGCAATGAATTGACAACAACAACAACAACACCAGCAACTACAACAACTACAACAACAACAATATTAGAAACATCAACAACATCAACTACATTAAATGAACAACAAATGAACGTTGAAAATTCCTCACAGGCAATGAAATGTAAAATTAACTATTAGCACAGTTAGAGGAAAGAGTCTTTATAAAAGTGAAAAATTGCAAGAACCTCATCATTCTCATCACAGCCTTATTTACCATCATTATCTTTTACAGCATCACCGTCCTATTCAGTGTGTTCAAAACATCATAATAACCACCACAGCCATCTTCATCATCGTCCTATTTATCGTCATCATCATTTTCATCATCGTCGTCGTCGTCGTCATCTTCTGTATCATCATCATCATCATCATCATCATCCTCCAACTAAATATCATCACCGTACCATCATCATCGCGGCCATCATCATAAATTATTCCAAGTCAGACACAAAGCGCCATAATGTTAATGGATATGCATGCACTTATAACAACCCACTGGTAGTAAAGGAAATAGCTACCGTAGCAGCTGCAGCGAATGTAGTTGTAGTGGTAGCGAAAGTAGTGGTAACGGAAATAGTAACGGATGTACTAACACCAATAAAATATCAAGTTTCATAATGGTAGTAACATTAATCAGAGTAACTTAGCAATAATAGGACGCACCACGCAATAAAAACACAAGCGTACACAAACGTACACTCACATATACATACACACGCACGCACACACATATACACACACGCACGCACATACATATACACACATGCACGCACACACATACGCACGGTTGACACGAGGTGATGATGGTTAACGACGGAGGATTCTCGCTTCGGGCCAAACTGTTCTCGAAAGAAAAAGCAACAGTAAATAAAAACATGAAAGGGTCGAAGGAAAGAGAGAAAGTGAAAGAGAGAGAGGGAGAAAAGCTAGAACATCATCAAAGTGAGAGAGATAGAGAATGAGAGAGAGAGAGAGAGAGAGAGAGAGAGAGAATTAGAAGGACAGACAGACATAAGAGTCAAACGGATAGATAGACAAAAAGAGAATAATGCAGAAAGATGAAAACAACTTAATAAGAGACAAAGAGAAAGAAAGAGACAAAGAGAGAGAGAGAGAGAGAAAGAAAGAAAGAGACAAAGAGAGAGAAAGAAAGAAATGAAAAGAGAGACAAGAGTGAATTATTCAAAGCATTACTCTTCTTCCTATTTGAGTTAATTTAACGCCAGGTCTCACGCCTGACTTTCGCTATATACAGACGCATACGTACGTACGTGTATGTTGTTTGCCCAATCTCTATATATCATAATAAAATCGTGTTTACTCTCACTCTCTCTCACACACACACACAAACACATACACGCACACACACAAACATGGTTCAACTGAACAAGCATTTTGTGTTATTCAACAGTTCTGTAAAAATCTTCCTAATGATCAAGCCAAACTTAATGGTCTGATATTTTTAACTGCCAAAAAAAATCATTTTTTAACTGGTTTTCTATATTTTTCAAAAATCACTTCCATTTGTACATTTTTGTTGCAAGTTTTAAAATTTTTTTGGTGTTTTATGTCTCTGATATTCTTAGCTAATAATGTTGGTATCGTTATTAATTTTGTCATAATAAGCCGAGATTTAAACTTCGAATGACAGCCTTCCCGTCCTCTTTTTCTTCATTTTCCTCTTCTTTTTTAATTATTATTAATGTTATTATTATTATTGTTATTTTCGTTTTTATTATTATTTTAAATATTTCTGCATTCCCTAATTCCATCTCCGGTTTTATTATCTTTATCTCTGCTCTGTCGACTTGGTCACATTTCAAATTTTTGCTCGTTTCAATATGTTTGTTTGTGTGTGTGTGTGAGTGTGTGAGTGAGAATGTATGTGTGTGTGTGTGAAAATGTGTATGTGTGTATGCGAATATGTGTGTGTGAGAATATATGTGTGTGTGAATGTGAATGAGTTTGTGAGAATGTGCGAGAATGTGTATGTGTGTGTGAAAGAGAGAAAAAGTGTGTGTATGTGTGTGAGAATGCGAGTGTGCGTGTATGTGTGTATTTGAGAATGCGTGTGTGAGTGTATGTGTGATTTTTTTAAAGCAATAATGCGGCTTCGTATGTTGTGTTTGTGTTTGATGCGTGCGTGCATGTAATGTATTCTGTCCGATGAATGAGGTGTGTATTTGAATAGGAGTGTGCAAGAAAAAACGAGTCGTGTGGCTTGGAAAGTGGCCTGAGTTGCTGAAGTGTGCACGCATCAATATTCGTGTCATTTCAATTATTCATAATTGTCATTAGCGTCAATTTATTTAATACAAACAACAGAGGCAGTAGCATAATTAGAATATTTTTCGTTCCCATTGCTTTTTATCTTTTCAGAAAAAATATGTTAGCAATATGTTTTCATTTAAAAAATATAGCGCTATACTAACGCCAGTTTTTCAATGTTTTTGGTAACGTTGGTAACGTTTTTGAAGTTAATTCCTGTTTTGTTTTTTCCTAATTCAATTTACGCACCATCTTCCGAGTTTCGCGCGTCAGATCAAATAAAATGCAAGCGAATTTAATGTAGTGTTTTTGGTGTTATATATGATGTGCTGGTAATTTTGCTGTTGTTGTTGTTGTTTTTGCGGCTGTTGTTGTTGTTGTTTTTGCTGCTACTGTTGTTGTTGTTGTTGTTTTTGCTGCTGTTACTGTTGTTGTTGAAAATGATGATTTTGTTGTTGTTGTTGTTGTTGTTGTCATTTTTGCTTATAAACTTTGTTCTTAGATGTTGGTTCTTTGTTTTTATTTCTTTGTTTATTTATTTCTTTGTTTCTTTGGTTAAAGTTGTTTTTTTAGTTCTTTCTTATTATTTGTTTCTTTTGATTATTTTTCAAAAATTTAAATTTGGAATTATATTTTTAACGCAAAGTATTTCAAAGGCACCTACTTATTTGCCGGCACTGACCTCAAATTTTAATAATATGCTTCTTACAATTTATTTTTCAAAAATTAAATTCCGTAAAATAAAAAAAAATTTAATATAAAAATAGCAATAAAATCAAATTAAACAAGAAAAAATAAAAAATAATAGGGAGATGGAGAAAAAATGTCTAAATAGTTTTCAAAATTTTTCCTAAGAAAAACTTTTTAGAAACGTTGTTAATTGTATGTTTGAATTTGTGTGTGTGTGTATGTGTTTATGTGCCTCTGTGTGTGTGTTTGTGTATTTGCATAAGTATGTATATATGTATGTATGTCATCTTGCATTTTGGTATGGCAGCCTTTTGATAATGTATGTATGTATGTATGTACGTATGTACGTATGTATGTATGTATGTATGTATGTATGTATGTATGTATGTATGTATGTATGTATGTATGTATGTATGTATGTTTGTATGTTTGTATGTTTGTTTGTATGTGTGTATGTATGTATGTATGTTTGTTTGTATGTATGTACGTACGTATGTATGTATGTATGTATGTATGTATACAATGGTGATGATGACGACGATGGCGATGACTGATGTCTGCATCATCAAACATAGTCATGAAATACGTTTACGGTTGGACATATAAGCAATGCGTGCAACTTCTGTGCACCTGGGCGCATAGTCAATACCTGTACATACATTCGTACACAAATACGCTTGTGTAAACGCGCACACATATGTGCGTGTACAAACTTCAAATTATTTGTACGTACCTGAATGTATAATATGTATACATAGTATAGATACAAGTTTGCGTTAGTGTACAATCACAAGCGTACGCTCATAGATACATTCATACAATGTGTACATGCTAAATATATACGCGTAAATGTGTACAACATTATTAAATACCCAAGTTGTACACTCATAAAATATTTTATGACGTAGCGCTTGATCATTGCACATCTGTTATGAGATAATTGCGATGAGCGGGCTAGTCTCAACTCAACTCAACCGCACTCAATATACGCAACAACACATACGTAAGTGTGTGCGTACGTGTGTGTGTGTGTGTGTGTGTGTGTGTGTATGCCACATCATATAACTCATAGCTGTAGGGAGTATAAAACTTTTAATATAAAATAGAAGAAAATTATTAATAATATTGTAATGTAGTTGTGTGAGTTGTTGTAGTTGTGGCTAGTGTGCCTGCTACTACTGCGATCGCCGTTTTTTTGGCGGATTTGAGGGTTTGTTAGGAATTTTTATTTTAGAAATTTAATTGACTGGATGGATGGGTTGGGTTATTAGTTAGACGAACATCTAAGGAGCAATCTAGTTGCAATCTGTCTGCCACTTACGGGCTAATGTAATGCGATGCCATCTTATTAATTGCCTCGCCTGATCCTAACATTATTAAACGAATCACGTTGACTTTCCACCTATATGTCTGTCTGTGTGTGTTTGTGTGCGCGTGTGTTTGTGCCTTTATGTGTATGTGTTAACGTTTTTTGTATTGTGAGTACTTAAATTTTTGTTTGTTTTTGTGTGTGTTCAGTATGTATGTGCATACAGGTTTGTGTGTTGTTGTTGTGTGTTTGTTTGTTCACGTGTGTGCATTTGTGTGTGCGTGTTTAAAAGTGAAGAAGATGCAATTTTTCATAAAAGAACCAAGTAGGGGTACATTCATAATTCAGCGAACTCCTTGTCAAGTTTTAAATAAACGACGTGCTATTATCATTATTTATGTCCAACTTTTGCAAGACTAACTATGTACGTGTGTTTGTGTGTGTGTGTTTGCGTGCGTGTGTGTGTGTGTGTGTGCGTGCTTTTACGTACATCAGATTAATCGAGCAGAACAGCGCCTAAAATAGAGAGAGAGAGAGAGAGAGAGAGAGAGAGAGAGAGAGAGAGAGAGAGAGACTGTAAGGCTGTAAGGTGAGAAATGACGACGACAAAACGATGATGATGATGATAATAATGGTGATAATGATAACGGTGAAGATGATGATGATGATGACGACGACGACGATGATGATGATGATGAGAAGGAAGAGGATGAAGTACACGTGGTCATGAATGAGTTTTTTTTTATAAGACACTTTTTCGCTTTAAGCAATTAGCTTAACGATCGAGCCGAGGTTAATGAGAATTCTCTTCTTATAAAATCACTTCTTATGCATCCTTTCATTTTTTTCATTCATTCTTTTTCCTCTTCTCTTTCTTTCTTTCTCTCTGTTTTCTTTCTCTCTCTTTCTCTCCTTCTTCTTCTTTATGTGATGATGGCGACGATGACGATGACCTAGCAATAACGATGACAACAATGAAGATGGCGATGATGATGAATGCAATGACATCCGTATATATGTTTTACTTCTGATTACATTTCCTAAGTAATAAAGGTATATATGATAGATTTTTTTTAAAAAGGTTTTGAATTTAAAATACAGAAAAAAGTAGATGTTAAAATGTTTTTTTCTTCTATTTTTCAATTGTTTTTCTTTGGGATGAGATTAATTTAAAAAAAATTTTTCTGACATTTTAAGCTGTAATTCTTTCGTTCATCAATTAGTTCATTCGTTCGTTCTTTCATTCCTTAATTCATTCAATTTTTCATTCAGTTTTTCGCTCATTCATTCATCCGTTTGTTCATTCGTTCATTCGTTCATTCATTCATTCATTCAATCATTCTAACAAAACTAGATAAAACAAAAACAAAATAGCAATTTCTCACCAAATTACTTTTCTCTTTTGGATGGAATTGAAATGATGTTGAAAATGGTAATTAACAGCAATAAAGGCTTCATGAAAGCCAGTCACACATCATCTATCTAATGCTAAAATGATTGCACATACCACACGCACACACACACACACACACACACACGCACGAACACACACATACACACACGTCAACAAACTATTGTTTAAAAAATCAACTTCCGACAGAACCAGATACTTTTTTGTGTGTATGTATGTCTATGTTTGTTTTTTTTTTTTTGTGTTTGGTGGGTTTTTTTTTTTTTTTGCGTGTGTTTGTGGTTGGTTTTGGTTTTTTAAATGAATTGAACTTTTAATATAGCAACGGTTCGATATATGAAAATAAATTTTTACCATTTTTTTTCTTTTTCCAAGGAAGTTTTCTAAATTTTCAATTGATAATATTAATTTGAGTCAGAGACTACATGAAGTTGATGGTAATTATAGACGTGATGTTGTTTTTTTTGTTGGCTATAATGTAGACTTTTTTTTTATTAATTTCAATTCCATTAAATTGTTCTTTATTCGCATACATTTTGAATGCCTTTGATCAATAATATCTAGTTGCTTTCCGTTTCAATTCATTCATTCGTTCGTTCGTTCATTCGTTTATTCATTCAGTCATCTTTTCATTCATTCGTTCATTAATTCATTCGTTTATTTATTCATTTGATCGTTCATTCGTTCGTTCATCAATTCATTCGTTTTATTTATTTATTTGATTGTTCATTTTTTCATTCATACATTTATCTATTCATTCCTTCATTCATTCGTTCGTTCGTTTGGTGTTCGTTCATTCATTTATTTTTTCATTTTTTCATTCCATCGTAAATTTCTCTATTTATTTATTCAATAATTTTTATTTGTTGTTTGGTTGGCCGGTTTCTTTGAAGTTTAAAAGTTTTCTTTATTCGACGGTTTGTTCGTTTATTCGTTCGTTCGTTCATTGGTTCGTTCGTCCGTTTTGTTCATTCAATTGTTCGTTTGTTTGTTCGTTCATTCGTTCATTCGTTCAATTTACAAGACGTTATAAAATAAATGAACTTGACATAAACCAACACAACACATACACACACACACACAAACACACACACACACACACACGCACACACATAAACACAAACACACACGAACAAACACACCTGCTTATCGCACAGCGTGTCCTTTCCTTTGACGGGGCTGATAATTTTTTCACAAAAACTTCCTTCCAGTAGGGCCATGCCAGACGGCCTCTGGCATGTTTCATTTTCGTAGTAGAAGAGAAGATTTTGGTAGAGAGCAAACCATCTTTGTTGCCATTTTCCTGTATCTACACTTTTTT